ACCCTGGGCACCCCCTGGGCGTTGCTGTGCGGTGTATGCCAGGCCCGGGACCGCGGGTACCTCCCCGCGGGCGCGGAGCCGGGAGTGGGGCGGGCGGGATGGCCGGGCTGTGGATAGCAGGGGCCTCCTTCAGAGAGGAAAGGAACTTGCTGAAATCAGCTACACAAACATCGTGCGTCTCGCTTTCAGTTTACCCAGCTTTTCTTGACTTCTCATCCTGGCGAGGGAACGTGTATCTATTTATTTAATTATAAAATTTGCCCTATGAAAAACCTGTACTTTCGGGACTCGTGAAAATTACGGTTTGCCTTTTTAAAAGTAGCAAACTTTAATTGTTTGGGGGTTTTTCTTTCTTTCTTGTACTATGTATGTGCTTTTAATTGCATCGGAGAGTTGCAACGTTGTGTTAATGTGCACAGGTATTTTAGCCCAAGATTCAGAAACTCCGTTAACTTCAGCAAACTATTTCATTAGTTCCTGACATCATTCAGCAGGTCATTTGTTTTAATGTGTTTATAGAATCACTCATTTACGGTTAGTGTCCCTAAACATAAATCTGTGCCAAACCACTCAGTGTTTGCATGCTGTGGGTTTTTTTTCAGCCTGTAATGTAACTTCTGGTTTCAGCTTTGTCCTTCTAGCCCATATTTATGTACTGAATTCTCTAACAGTACCTATATGTTTAGGATGGTAGTAAATGGCAAGGCAGGGCAGCCAGAACAGCTGTGATAGCAAAATCAGGCAAACCCACCATTTCCTATGGCTATCCTTATGTGCTTTGTTAGGATATTACCTTTAAGAGATTCTCCTTTTGCTTACCTTGGTTATAGCTAGAAATAATACTCTGTTTCAGTACAGTAGGAAAGCTTGCTGTGAATTTTGTTAGCAGGAGTGTTGAGCTAGATGCTGATGTTCCACGACTGTAAAGTTTCCCTGATGTTACACTTGTTTCCTTTCTGTGACTTGTAGATTCAGGAAGAAACAGAAATGTGGAAAATAAGGGAATGGGAGAAGCAGACAGAAGAGACTTACTGGAAAAGACAAAGCAGAATGCTGTCAGACACCTCCAGGTGGGTTTTAGTTGTGTGGAGTAGGTACTCGTCTTGACTTAGTTGCTGAACCCTTTTGTGTTACAATACTTTGAGAGCATTCTGTGATTACTATGTGTTTACAATATAGGAAGACCAGGTAGACTACAGATATATTTATCTCCTTAAAGTGTTCCTGGAAAGAGGTCAGACCTATGCTTAAGTCAGACCTTTTATCTCTTCATCTAGATGTATAGTTTTCAAAATACAACATTAGTAGGCTGGGATCTCTGAAGCAGTGGGGGTGAGAAGTGCTTGAGTAATGTGTCAGAATGTTGTGAGGAAAGTCTAACATATTGCCATTTAAGTTTAGCAGTAAACAAAACGGTTGTGGTGTGGGGTCCTTACTATTAGAACACACCAGTACTGACTGCTGCTTGTGTGGTATCGTTTTGACATGCCTGAGGATCTCACAAGCTACATGAAAACAAGCTGGGTTTGGGCTGATGGTTGGGGTTTTGCAGAGGGTGGGCTTACTACCACAAAGGTTTTTTCAGAAGCATGAATGTTGCAGGAAGTGGTTTTAGTATCTCAAGGGAGAACTTTCAGACTTACACTAAGTCCACAGCTGCTGCTTGGCTCAGGAAATGCAGCATTTCAAGTGAGAAACAAAACCAGAGCCACAGGCAAGTGAGATCACTCTAAAGTGTCGGTGCTTTCTGTGGATTTGGGATCTCAGGCCTGGTACCCGATCAAAGTGCAATTCTAGTAACTCAGTTCTACTTCTCCAGTTTCCCCTTTGCTGCTTTTACTAGCCTATGTCTCACTGAATATTGTTAATCTGCTTCTGCAGAGTATTCTAGAGGAAGAGAACTGCATTTGTTGTGAGAGCAAAATAACCCCTTCCTCTAATTTTACATTGTGAGCAGTCAAGAATTTTGTGGTGCACAGCGGGCTGTAGTAAGTTTTGAAAACCAGTGATAGCTACTGAACTGGTTTTGTTAATGGTGACTGTCTGTTAAAATTATAGCTGGTCTTGCATAGATGCACATCCAAGACTTGCTGGATTTTTGCTTCTCTCGCTGGACTAACCCCTTGTTCGGAAAGTTTCTCCATCAGAGCTGACAGCTGAAGGACAACTGTTCTCTTTCTGCAGCAGTCGGATGCGCAGTGATGGCTTTGATGAGGAGGGGCACAGGGCTGACTGGAAAACAAAGAACTCACAATTTCTTGACCCAGTTGAAGATGATCTCCTTAGGGCCCGATCATGGAATAAAAAGCTGTATGAATGTGAAGCCAACATGCCAGACAGGTCTGTGGGGGGAATTAATGTTCTGTGGTTATAACTGTAATTAAAACACCTTTCTGAAATCCTGTACCAAAAAGTTAATACATTTTTTTCTGTATGTACTCCTGTAAAACAATGCTTGATCTCATTTTGAGGATGAATAAGTAACATGCACCAACTTTTCTAGTGTCACAAAATACCTAATTTGAGTTGATCTGTAGAGTTCCTAAGTCACAGTACGCAGTAAAAGCTCAGCCCTAAGCTTAACAACTAAGCTTAGTATTTATTACTTTGCCCAAGGAACTTGAAAAATCTTGAGGAGTTCAAGTCATTTTAAAGAAATCGGAGTTGTAGTTTTCCTTAATTAGAAATGGAAAAGATACTGAGAACGTACGGTGTATTTAAATAATACCAACCAAATCAGTCCCTTTTTCTTCCTCCTTTGTTGGTGAGGTTCTGATAGCCCTTCTTCTTTGCTGTCTAAACTCATGTTCATTCTGTGGCTCTGTCTTTTCAGAATTACAGTTTTTCCTTAAACACCTTGTCTGTTTCTTACAGATGGTTTTGCTTTCTTACAGATGGGGTCACAGTGGCTATAAAGAGTTGTACCCTGAAGAATTTGATACAGATAGGTAAGGCAAGCAACCTTACTAATGTATCCAGAATCTTACTTCTGTCAGGGAATGTTATGCAGGGAGGTTTACAAACTGAGTTCAAACTTTAAGTTTTGAATATAGATCAGCCTTGAATGTAAAGCAGCACTGTTTAGTTACAGACACCCACTGAAAAAAAAATCTAGTCTGTTAATGTGGTTTCCCCTTGTCTGCATCTTAGGAGGGGATTGCATCTTTTGTAGTAATTAGACATCCAGCTTTAGCCTAGGTTTTTAAAATGCTATGAATCTGGAAGGTCTGTCTGGGCCAACAGAGAGCCAGAGCAGGAGGCTGATTCCAAATCAGCTCAGTACACACCTTCTCAAATACCAGCTCCAGGTCCCCCTTTCCATTATAGTGTTACCTGTATGTTCTGTGTTTCTCCTTATTTGGAGAATATACATTCTTGCAGTACCCTGGAGAGTGGAGACTTAGCTGTAATATAAGATCTTGGAGAGAATTCCTTATTTTTAAACCACACCTAACAGAATCATCAAGTACAACATTTGTCAGGCTTACAGATTTGAAGTAACCTGCTATAAATGAGTTTTCAGCACTCAGTGGCTTTCATTACACATTCTCTGTGGTTCTGGCTCAAATATCTTAAACAAGGGCATTAGTAAGGTGCGGACCCAAGCTGTTAATAAGCACTTGAAACAAAAATGAGGCTACCACATCTGTCAAAGCATCTGCTTCCATGCTGTAGCCAAATGAATTGATGGGCTTGCTAAAAACTTTAAGACAGAAAAAGGCTCAACTGCTATGTGCCTCCCTGTCTGCTTCCTTTTGGTCATCCTTTGTTCTTTTTACAGTGACCAGCAAGAAGGAGATGAACAAAATGCTGTCAATGGGAAGAAGAAATCTTGTCTGGGAAAGCAAACTGCCCGTGAGTCACACAAACGGAAAAAAACAAAGAAATCGCACAAGAAGCAGCAAAAAAAGCGATCACACAAAAAACGAAAGAAAAAGAAAAAGGAGCAGCAGGAGAGAACATCATCAGATTCTTCCCAGGAGAACGAGTGCTCAGAAGAGGAGACTTCAAGCACCCGGAAAGGGAAACACAAGCGCAAGAAAAAGACCAGGAAAGTGCCTGCCAGGGAACCTGCCTCTTCTGGGCAGGAAAGTGACTTTTCTCATGCAAGCAGCTCAACCACCAGCAGCTCTGAGGACAGCGAATCTGAGGAGAAAAAAGAGAAACGACCCCCAAAAAAGAGAAAGAAACGTCACAATTCTGTGTCAGAGAGGCACAGTGAGGTACCAGAGAAGAGGAACAAGAGGAAGAACTGGAAAGTAGCCGCTGATGAAAAATCAGAGGATAGCTCAGATGAGGACTGATGAGTTTAGGCTGCAGCTCAGAAAGTAAGGCAGAGGACAGAGGCAGGTATTTATCCTTCAGCACTGCCCCACGGTACAACTTCTTTCAACACTGTGGTTTATATACATCCTGCCAGCCCACAGGGGAGAAACTGAGCCTTGGCAGCCTGCAGTAGGTGCCTCCCTGCTTTTCGTTGACTTGACATTCAGAAAACCAGGGGAGCAGTTGCCTGTCTCAGAGGTTGGCTAGTCCTGCCAACTTCAGATTCTTTTGCTGTGACCAGGTTGACCTCTGATGTGTTATAAGTTGTCTGCAGGGGGAAAACAGACATGTTTGCACCATTGTTGGGTTTTGTGTTTTGTTGGGTTTTTTTTTAAATTAAATTTTAACAGATTGCTTTTTTGGGTTACCAAATCAATGACCAAGACTTGAAACAGGAGAAGGGCGAAAGAAAAAGTCTGGTAACAGAGGAAATGCCACTGGATTTAACCCTGCAGTAACTTTGTCTTCCCATCCTCCAACAAGAGTAGACCTGTGTGGCGGTGTGCACATGG